GCTAAGATTATATAATCTTACCTCAATCTGTTCTGTGCTTCTGCTATTTTCGAGATTCCTAACGAATGTAACCAGCTTACCAACTCCAAAGTTCATTTCATTCTACACAATGACAAACGCAGTTAAAAACTTAATTAGGCTAGAGTCGAACCAAATAACACCAGAGAAGATTATGGTAAATATTACCTGTCTTCCTTCAATCCTGCTAATTTTAGTTTCCTGTGACATTGAAAAAGGTCAAGGTTGATTTCAGGTCTCATCGAGCCAACTTAAGATTCGAAAAAGGGGAGAGGGAATGTAGTAGTGAAGGAAAGAGATTTTTTTTTTTTTTTTTAAGTGAAGGAAAGAGAATGGTCACCAATGATCGCACGACATATTGAACAGATTGCACATCAGAACCTATTAGTTTCACATCACCTCGTAGTTCAGATACCTATATAAGTCGATAAATCAGTAACTTGACAAGATTCAAAGGAAAAATATGGGGCCAACTACTAATTTTGCCTGACCTCCTCTTTTGTAGCAGCTGTATTATCAGCGCACTCGTCAATTTTACAATCTACACGGTCAATCCTCGAGGACAAGTGCTTCCTTGTGGCCTGGAAAAGTTTCGAAAAAAATTCATTGAGATGCAAAATATATGTAGTAGGCATTAGCATTCTCTAGATAGAATGCACTTGTGTGTGAATCCTATTGTTCCACTTGTGCGTGAATCCTATTGTTGCACTTCTCTGTGTAGGGTCAAAACAACATAAAAAATTGACAGATAAAGCACACCAACAATGAACAATAGTATAATTATATTGGGATCATATGCAACAGATCATAGCCACACATCATGCGATCGCAGTTGCTTCTCAAGGAAATTGGACACAGATATTATGGCTGATAAAGCTTGTATACATATGCATGCATACCCAATTCCACAAAGTTTAGAGACTCTGAATCATTAAATCTTAAAGAGAATGCAGTTCTTCAACGACAAGAAAAAAGAAACACAAACTAGAACAATGCATTACCATATGGAATACTTAAATAAATTTATAACCACCTTAATATAAGGGGAAGCTTTTTGAGAAGGAAAAGACAAAAGGCTATGCATGCCAAAGAAAATAACCCATTATGCGCACCGAATAATAAATTAGTATCTCATGTTAAAACAAAAAAACTTGCCGAAATCGAGGAGTAAACATTCTCGAGCTGTTTTGCCACAGATGAACAAGCATCATTTAAGCCACGCCTTGTTGCAAACATCATATCAGAAAGTCTCCAGCCCTGCAAGTTGAAAATGTCATAAATTGCATCAGTAAGCCAATAGAATAGGAGTTTCAGTAGATATCCCCTCTAAATGCAAGCTATGGTTCACGATGGACCTCTGCTCATAAGGATTTTTTCATCTTACTGCGTAAATATAGGTACTGAAAGATACAAGCACTTCCCAATATCTTGTTTTACGCAAGGATTACGTCTTAGTTAAAAATTAAGAAGTAATATTACAAAAAAGAGTTATAATACTGCCACCTCCTAGGGAAGGTAAACAAAAGACACCAAGTTCAATTGATTTTTATTCTTCATTGAAAACCAGTAAGACCCAAGTTTTTACGTAGAGTCAATACATTCAGATGCCATGTCCAATCTCACACGTTATTCTCCTAGATTTCTCCACACAGCACCTAGAAGCAATAACTGATTTGTATTGGCGAAAACAAACAGTAAACATGGCAAATAAAAATTTAATCTACAGAAAACGAAGATGAAAGAGGTGGCATCTTAGCAATTCCTAAAAGAAAATTGGTCAAAGGAAAAAAAAATCTTGAATGGATGGATTTCCATGTTCCAATGTCTAGTTTCTAGCATTGAAAATGAATTTTGTGAAGTTACTGAATTCAAACAAAATTGAAAACGTTCAGCTGGTGTTTAAGCTTCCATGATTTGAACTGAATGATGCTTATAGCTCTTTAATTGTGTTTTAATATATTTGTCCTAAAGTGAAACTGTTTCTTGACGTGTTTCCAAAATCCTATTGCCATAAAGGGCAAAGACTGAATAAATTCATTTTCAATGGCATCTTCACTTATCAAAGGAATCCAATTTCTGGCCGTATGAAAGTGAAGAACGGCATTTGATAGACAGCCATACATAGCTATAAAGGAAATGGAATTTACCTTCCACCAAATGTAACCATATCCAACACCTACAACAATAACAAGCACACCATATTTGCCAGATGCTGCAAAAAAGTAGAAGATACAGTCAGTTAATAAAACAGCACTGATTAATTATTAAAAAAAAAACTAAGATCAAGCAGAACCATCTACAGGCATCCAAAGATTCCAAACTCATATGCAGCTAAAGGGGAAGGATCAAGTAATGTACTTCAAAGAAGCAATTAATGGTTTCCATTGAGTATAGAAAAATCTATCAACAATAACAGGACAGCAGGCTTTCATATCAATAAAGATATCAAGGCACCAAGCGACCACATGCTAAAACTGTCCATTTTTAAATAAACCCACAAGTTTGTACAGGATTATAGCCCGTCTTCTAAGATATCACTGATGTTTTGATAAATCAGATGCACACAGTTATAAAACATGATAGTACACTGTTATGCACCAAAGTATGAGTTTGTTGCATGTGATCAACTAACGGTTAAAGGAAATGAGAAGATGATCAAGAGCTGTAAAATACCACCAGCAAAAAGCAAATGCAGATGCTAAATACCGAATAGAATGTTCAGGTTCCAAAAACTAGCATGCTGCAAAATATTTTACTTATTGGAAGTTTGGTGCTACAGTGCATTAAATTATAGTGCATGCAAATAGTTTTCACTAAAACCAACTGCAACATTTCCGTCAGGAAAAGATAATCACATTAAATGCTCTCGTTGTTAACTGAAATTGCTAAAGCAACCTGATCGGTCTCCAGTGACAATCGTAACAGATCTATTTGATGCCAGAAGTTGCAGTTCCTGACGAATACTGTTAACCTGAAAGAACACAGATAAACAAATGTTCAATTCATTTATTAACATCATGCAATAAATGTCTTGGCCACTACAAGTAAAGAAGTCAAACTTGGATATCACAGGTGTGGGAACCCTAATAAAGAGCGCAAACACCAAACCTGTTGCACCAAAAGATCATTCCTTGGTTTGGAACTCGAAGCAGCTGAATCATCTTGTTTGAGTTGCTTGAAAACAATCTGCAAGTAAAAATGTTGAAAAGTTCTCTCTCATCAGATAACTTGGAAAATTTTAAGTTGGCACCCCACAATTGTGGTCATTATCCAAATTTACCTTAAGTGCACCAGAGAAAAAATCAGAAACATTAGATATCCTGCCTTCTTTAGCAAGAACTGATCCTACAAGGCCTGCATATATTGTATTTTAGTGGTAAAATCCTCTTGAAGACTGCACGTAACAATACTAACACTTTACACAACTACAATAGCATAACAGTATGATTCAGATGTTAGTGCAACAACTCATTCTAAAGACAATACAGAGTTATGATGGGTGAAAACCCACTCTCTCTTTCTTTTGTGTAAAAAAAAAAAAAACTTCAGACCACCTAAAGGAACACTAATGTGGGGCACGTTAAAAATCCGTAATTTGTCAACTACAAAAACTTAAATTACAATCACTACGTAAATCAAACAAGTAACCAAATAAGCAATACAAAGTAACTACTAGTAGCAACTTACAAGAACAATAGAAAAAGAAAATTTATTTACATGGACAGCAGACAACAAGAAGTCTTACTGGACATTGAGTCATCTAGTCGAATCTAATCCTTATAGACAAACATGTGAACTAAAAATAAAGGTTCCGCTTGGATAACCAAAATATTACTTTTCACACCATTTTATTAGAAACAAACTTTGATATTGTGATAGGTTGTAAAAGCTTTTAGAAGGTATACTATTAAGACTTTCACGAATTTCCCTCCTCATTACCTAAGGCACTTTACATAGAAAAAAAAAATTACAACACATTCTACTCTTGTTTCTCTGAAAATGAAAAACTATCCAATCAGACTTTATTGTTCAATTGACTTAGTTTTGTAATTACAACAAGTGTCATGTGAACTTTTTTCGCATTATACAATAATAAGATTTGTTTAATTCGGGGCTACAATTATATCCCCATACCACAACATATATCCGCCAAAGCATTAGGTATAACATTTCATGGTAAAATTACACAATTTTGACTGCCTATTGAGCTTTGTGGCAACACAATGTTATGTCTTATGTTGATCCTTAGCTCCCTCACCAATTTGTTTCCAGCTCTCTACAATAAGAACTCACAACTCCAGCCCCCAGCAACCTCCCATCACTTAAACCCCACAAAAGAAAAGGCAGACACAAGAACATGGTTGTTATCTATAAGATGATCCCACATAGTCAAAAAATAAATTTAATGGAGGCATAAAGCTCAATCAAAATAAAACTTGATATCAACAGGACAGCCAAAAGTATGGCTTACTGTCTACAACTGGTTATAAATTAAAGCATTAATGTTTAAATGCAAAAGCAGGCAACAAGAAAATGAAC